GTGTCTCTCTCTCTCTCTCGCTCAGGCTCTTTGGTGGGAGGTTATGCCGGTTGTGCTTGTTCCAGTCCCAAAATTTGCATGCTTCTGGCTCTGTGCGGCCGAAGTCTTCTGACCCCGCACCCTTCGGAAAGGAGGCCCTGCCTGTCGGTGGAGAAGCAAAGCAGGAGGCAACATCCTTGCCCACTGGACCTTTTCCTGGATGGGGGCCTGAACCCTAAACCCTAAACCCTAAACCCTAAACCCTAAACCCTAAACCCTAAACCCTAAACCCTAAACCCTAAACCCTAAACCCTAAACCCTAAACCCTAAACAAATTCCAGCACGGGCCCTTCTATCGAAGTCGTGGAGCCAGGTGCAGCGAACTGTGCCAGACTATGGCGATCTCATCGATGACGAAGGGATCGTGAGTTGGGGCCTTGACGAGGGAGACCAGCCTTAAACCCTCAACCCTAAACCCTAAACCCTAAGCCCTAAACCCCAAAACCCCTAAACCCTAGGCCCTAAGCCCTAAGCCCTAAGCCTGAACCCCAGCGTACGCTACAGCTTCCGTCGCCCTGCCGTACTTGGCAGTTTGCAGGCTTGGAGGGTTTAGGGTTGAGGGTTCAGGCAGCCATCTTGCGCACCATGCACCCCCTCACTGCTGGCTCGTACAGGCTGAGTCGGCCCTGGACATCAAGCTATAACCCTAAACCCTAAACCCTAAACCCCAAACCCCAAACCCTAAACCCTAAACCCTAAACCCTATTTAGGAATATATCTTTCAGAGGCTTTCAAAGGGCCATCCTAGGAACTGAGAGGGGTGTTCCAAGTTTTTTTGACAAGGCAGCGGCTTCGTTTTGTACTCGAGGGGTCGGAAGAATTTGCGAACAGTATTCCCCTTGGTTCCTCTACACTTATGTTAGGGTTTGGGTTAGACTTCGTCTTTTGGGTTTAGAGTCTAGCAAATTTATGCTGGTGCGGTGTTCCTACCATGAACTGGGGGTTTGGGGATTGGAGTTTCTTCGAGTTTTCGCAGAGTCGAATCTCAGATGATTGAACCTGCACACCACTTGAGGAACCGGCCTGTTTAATACAGGGTCGGAATAATTTCGAACAGTATTCCCTTACGGTCCCTTTATAATTAAACTATAAATAGACCCCCCCCAAAAAAAAACACAAACAAACCCTAAACCGTACTAAACCCTAAACCCTAAACCCAAACCCTAAACCCTAAACCCTAAACCCTAAACCCTAAACCCTAAAACCTAATCCCTAAACCCTAAACCCTAAACCCTAAATCCTAAACCCTAAACCCTAAACCTTAAACCCTAAACCCTAAGCCCTAAGCCCTAAACCCTAACAATTCAGGCTCCTATCTACTCTCAGGTATTCACAAGAAGGTCGCCAAGAAGGAGGAGTTGGAGGAGAAGGCCCAAGCAATCTCTAAACCCAATGCAACTTCATTGTGATACACTCGAAACCCTAGCAAAACCCAGGACTCCAATGCCCCTCACTTAAGGGTTTAGGGTTCAGGGTTTAGGGTTTAGGGTTTAGGGAAAACGTAAGAGGGGAGTCTCGGGGAACCCCAATATGACCCTGCAGGCACCCTAAAGAAGCCCAAAGTGGAGAGGCACGACAGGTAGTTGCACCTTCCGCACGAAGCATGGGATTGGGAGCCGACTCGAGTTGCAGCTGCAAAGAACGGCCCAAGACTGCCGTAAACCAACAACCCTACAACCCTAGCCCTAACCCTAAACCCTAAACCCTAAACCCTAAACCGTAACCCCTTAAACCCTAAACCCTAAGACCTAAGACCCTGAAACCCACCGAACTGTGGGCTCCCAAGCCCTCTGCTTATGAACTCTCTACCCTCGTTGCCCTGAACCCAGAACCCCTACACTTTCCCTAAACCCTAAACCCTAAACCCTAAACCCTAAACCCTAAACCCTAAACCCTAAACCCTAAACCCTATACCCTATACCCTATACCCTAAACCCTAAACCCCAAACCCTAAACCCTAAACCCCAAACCCTAAACCCTAAACCCTAAACCCTAAACCCCAAACCCTAAACCCTAAATCCCAAATATTGACCAGGGAGAGCCACGCCCTGACGCCATCCTGGTCTCAGGCTCACCCTTTGGGGGGTGCCTGCGCAGCGGTGTGATTGTTTCGTGCGCGGTTTAAAGGGTTTAGGGTTTAGGGTTTAGGGTTTGGGGTTTGGGGTTTGGAGTTTAGGGTTAGGGTTTGGGGTTTGGGGTCTGGGGTTTAGGGTTTAGGGTACAGGGTTTAGGGTTTAGGGCTGTTTCGAATGGCCGGCTTATAGGCTTTTCGGGTCTCTCGACTTAAAAGGGTTTTGAAGGCTTTGACGGTTTAGGTTTTGGGGTTCGGGCTTGGGCAGGTTTAGGGTTTTGGATTTCGGGTTCAGGGTTTAGGGTTTGGGGGATGTTTTGAGGGAGGACAGAGGAGGAGTCACAGCCCCGATCTCGAGACTCAGAACTGAGGAGTTCAAGGCTCAAACGTTCCGATTTGTCTGCGCGTGCGGAAGAGATCTAGAGCCCTAAGCCCGAAAACCTTGGGAGCCCTCAACCCTGAACCCTAAACCCTGAAGCCCTCAACCCTACAAACCCTAAGCCCTAAACCCTAAACCCTAAACCCTAAACCCTAAACCCTAAACCCAATCTGGGTTCCCACCAAACACTCAAACCTGCTGACGTGAAATCCTGGCTCAGGGAGTTGACAGCGTGG